GCTCGGCCTCCCAAAGAAGGCCGGTGCAAACGAACGGGGCGTTCCTCTGCACGTTAGTCGCGGCCTCGACAAGTAATTACTCGTTCACCTTGTTAATGGTGGCAGCTCCCGCTTCTTGGAGCGCAGAACGCGTGCGGTCTTGCGCGGCCTCCCTGATAACCCTGCGCCCTGGCCGAATGCAACTCGGTTTGCGCGCTGTCGGTCTTGAGGGGAGATGAAAACTCCCGAGCGGCCCGCTGACTGGCCCGGGAACTGTGGAAGGTAGCGTACAGTATAAAGGGAAAGGAAAATGCGGTCTCAAACTTTCAGATAAATACACAACTATACAGGCTTGTTGTTTAATTAAAAAAAAAAGTTCTGCAAAATACCTCAGAAGCTTTTAGAAGTGTACAGAAATTACTGTAACTAAAGAAGTAAGGCTAATATGGAAGGGAGGTGACACACAGGGCTTGCAGTCGCATGGCATCTTAAGACTGGCATCCGATACCTTCTTGTGCATAAAAATACCCTTCTTCACGCGGTATCGTTTCACAGTAAGCCATCTGCTTACATGTAACTCATTCATGTTGTGCTTTTAGTTTCCTAAGATCAAGCTACAATTCTTAACTGTTTTAATAGGCATTGCCTTTTAGTAACAGTCGTGTCTGAGGGGCTGAACGGCTCCTGTTGGAGCGAGTAGACTGAAGTCAGTTAGAAAAAGAGGTACCTTCACAGTTGCTGTACTGACTTACGCTTCGAGCACTGCAGTTCTGCCCTATGTCATCTCTAGTGAGGGCGGTTTCATCTGCCAGTGCTTTGCACCATCCACAGCAGTGGCTCTAGGCAATGAATTCAGAGGTCATGTCTGTGACACCACAGAAAAGCCGCTGGATTTGTCTTTGTTCGCAGCAGTGAAAATAGCAAAGCGATAGACTACTTCTATTAGATGTCCATGGAAGTAATGGGAGGGTTATGACAGGAAACTGGAGTTCACTTTCAAAATGATAAACACACCCACAAAAAACAAACACACCCCAGCCCACCTACAGTCTTCTACTTCATCAGAGTGAGAATCTCCTAACTAGCGTATTTAGCAATAAATACACTTTAAATCCTCCTTAAGTTCAGTGATCAAAGACTCTCTGTTCCTCGGTCTTGTGATGCACAAAGCCCCTTCCTCTGCTGGTTTCTTCTGATGAACATCTTTTCTCTTTTTGAACAGGTTAAATACTTCGATAAAAGAAGAGACTTTTTAAAATACAAAAGAAAGCTTGAAACAGAAGGGTATCATCCTCCAGAAGCTGCTGGAAAGTCTTAGGTACTCTGCTTTCAAAATAAATCTAGTGAGAGTAACTATGGAAGGAAGAAGCATGAGAAAGCAACGGGAGCTGCTTGAGCTCAAGAACTGGTAGCCTGACTTGTCTCCCTGAAATGCAGGCTGCCTTTCTTGTTGCAAGGTCTCATGTGTCTGCTGAAAAAAAGATGGTCATGGACAGCTTTTTCATCAGTATAAGTCAAAGAAATATGGCGCAGAGCTGTTCACAAATTTAAGGTTTTGAATGTGTAATTAGTCAAATTGTTTTACAGGAATAAATGATTATTTAAGTGTAATGTACATATTCTAAAGAAAATAAAATTGTTTTTCAGTAAGTGAACCAGTTTTTCCTTTAAAGAAAGAAAAAAGCCATTCCAACTTCCCCTCCTTGTCATAAGGAGATGGTGGTATAATGTAATTTGTATCTGTCATTTACCAAGTATTTCTGAGTATTTTAAAATACAGTTTAAGTCAGACATCAGTTTATAACACCAGGCATTAGAAGACCTAATGCATCCTGTGCATATGATATGTAAATTACATGTTTGCAGTACACTCCCTTTTTATAAGCAGTAGGAATTTTTACATTAGTGATAACAGTTTTCAATCAGTATCTCTGTTAGAAGTATGGCAGTTATTTATCACGATTCTCACATTATGGCATTTTCTGTAATTTAGTGTTTGTGATTACCTTACTGATGCAACTCCGTTAAAGATACAGGCTGTTCACAGCAGGATTAGTAAACTTGACCATGGAAGGCATTTAAACAAGAGGCAGCACAGGCAATTTTTAATAATGTAAGTGAATTTACCTTGCAAAAGTTATATAATCTAGTATATCTAGATGCCGGAGGCATTAAATAAATACTTTACTCTGGCTACAGGAAGTTTTGATTGTAGTTACAGGAAGGCACCACTTCAAATTCAAGCATGGTCATCACAAAGTAGCTGCAGTAAAAATCCTGTGTTTTAGTTTGGGATTGTTCATGGTACTATGCTGATGTTCTAACAGTAGAAAGTCACACACACCACATGCAATATAAATAGTATTTATTTCCAATGCAACAGTTTTATTTAAGGAGGTAAAGTATTAAGGCATTTAAAAATCAGTCTGAACTACAGAGAACAAAACATGCAAAACTTAAAGAATCCTCATTCACCCTGAGTTTGCATCTCATCTCTTCAGAATTTCATGTTGTAGCACCATAGTAAGTCACCCAGCTGTACTGTAAGGCACAAAACTCTTGGCAGTTATTTTTGTTGTTTTTGCTTGATCACTTGTTGCCTTGTGTACTCCCAAATCAGCAGAGCTCCACTTACATGAACATTGAGTGATCGAATAATACCCTGCTGAGGAATTTCCACACAGACATCCAGGTGGTGAATCAGGTTTGCGGGGATTCCTTCATGTTCATTTCTAGTAAAGAAGAAACAGTAACTTATATCTGGGAAAAGACAGGCGTTACAGAAAGCAGAAGATGAAAGAGTCACAACAGCATCAAAACACCATTTGACAAATGGTGCATCTGCCCTCAATATAACTGATGAGGACAAGAATTTTCTTTTTTTTTTTTAAAGCAGTAATACATTACAGATACAAAGAAAACGTGGGAGACCTGACTAAGCTTTCATATAGGAAAACTGGTAGAGCACTTCATCTTTAATTCACTGGTCCAGCAATAGCTGAACCCTCAACGTTAAGGGCTCCCTCTCTGCCTTTATTTTTAAACTCTCCTTATATAGCGAAATAAAACAGCTATAGATGAAATGACCAGGGCGTGAAGCTGCTGGCACAGCAGGGAAGCTCAACTGCCTGCTTTACATTCAGTGAGGTCTTGGTATGAGGGCATGTCGAGACTGATGCAAGCCTTGAACTGGAAATGTTTCACCTCTTCAGAATGAGCACACCAGAAGATACCAGAGGTTATCAATAATTAAAACTATGCTTTTAATTAGAAGATAACAAAGTGATTATGAGAGCTACATTCTGAAGACAAACTACATATAAAAAGGTTTGAAAAACAGTATTTGTGCTCACTTTGTCCTAAAAGGATAGATAGACAGGCCCTTCCTCCTGGTCTCGCTCAGTGGCCCTGCAATTCCAGTAGCTTTCTGACTTGTAGGCACTTTCCTCTAGATCTCTTGAAGTAGCCTCCCCTTTGTCACATCTGAGGCTTGCCTGATCATAGGAACTGGTTATTGCCTCTCTCTGAAGTTGTCCCAGCCTCTGCTTGTCCTGCAAAAACTTGCTACTTTGTCCTGTGTCTCATCCTTAATTTTTTAAAACATCTCCCAGCTATTCGTGCTCCCACTCCGCTCCAGTCCTCCTCACCAAGTTAAGCAGGGCAAACAGGCAACTCCTCGCTGAGCTCACTGCAGCCTACGCACACAGGGCCCCGTATTACTAACGTGAACAGATGATCTCTCTATCACACCTGGAAAACTATAGCCCATGCTGTTGCTACCTCCACCCATAAAAAAAAGGACTTGTAGTATATGGATAGGTTATAAAGTATGAGGAGAAGGATCGTTCAGGAGTAGGTATCAATGCCTCCCACTCCTTAGCACACAAAGCCAAGCTCTGCTGTTTCCAACACCACTTCCCATTCCAAAGCCACCTTTACCAGTGTCACTTGGTTTTCATATGACCAAACTCTGACTAGTAGAAGGGATGGACTGCAAGAGGTAGATATACAAAAAAGTGTGTGTTCTTACCCCAGCAATAACAGGGACTTCTCTGGGAAGCAATATTCTGTAAGATCAAAACTTTTAGCTGTCTGCTCCACACCAATAATAGTGTAGCCTTCTGTTTTTTTCTGCTGTAAATAATCAACAAGCTGAGATGGTTTCACCTGTCCATCAAAAGTAGAAATACAGAAGTACGTAAATACTGCCATTTGTAAACTTCTGAAGTTACTGTAAAAATCAATTTACTTGGACAGTTTAAGATTAATGACTTTTATCCCCAAAGACTCTGTCCATATACATAGCTTATGATTTTAAAAGCTCTTCAGCAATAGCACAAAAGGTTAAGTAATGCCACAAAAACGTACTCCACAGATACAATGAACAAAGGCTTTTCTCTGCTTCTGACAGCTACAAACCTTACGTGTGAATGTAAGAAGAATCACTCTTGCACAGGGGCAAGGTGCATTGTTATTTAACCTGGAATCCCTTCCTAAAACAATACAACAGCCAGTATTGAAGCCGAGTTGCCTTACATGCCTGCATTACAACTTGTGATAGCTTGCAGTGAAGAATTTCTTGGTTGTCTTCACCCTACTCTCTAAACTGCTTATTTGTATTAAATGCCAATTTCTTCATGCAACAGAAACTGTCACCAGTACACTTCTGTACAGAGATTCGGCATGACAACATGTGTCCATCAGCATTCTGTTTTAGGCAAAACACACTACCGCTATCTTGTTCTGAAGAAAAGTCTTAATAGGCTGAAAATAAACACTGAGGGGGGGCGGGGAAGAAAAATTTGCACAGAATTTTTCAGATCACTTAAAGCTGATCTTGAAAAACAGGTTATTATAAAATATCACAAACATATTTTCTACCAAATACTGAACATAGGTTGAAACCCTCATTTTTATAAGCTAGATAATAGGTTCTAAGCACTTAGCACAAGTTAGCTTCAGGCAATGTCAAAGATTATCCCCATGAAGTTACCAAAAGCAATGGACCAAGCAAGACAAATGAAGTGGTGTTCAACTTTTACAAATGAACATTAAATTCCAACACACCACTATAAAACACAGAGTAAGATGTAACAATGACAGCTCACATAATCAGTTTATCACAGCAATAAGAAATTAAAAGTATTTTTAAAATTCTTTGAGATTGACCCAAAGTTTATTCCAAAATACTCAACATTAAGTCTCAGAGATAACAGCGGGAGCTTGTTAAAAAAAAGTTCATTTTGCAAGAGAAAAAAGTAAGACTCTGAACTACGCATGTGATGAACTGAAAATGTACAGTACTCTTTTTAGCTATTAAAATGTTTCCATTCACCTCAACAAGGGGGAGCCACTGCTCTGCAGAAACACTAAGATGCTGAAACTGCTTATCCTGTATATAATGAAGACTGCCGACAACTAGTGCAGATGCCCCAAATATTTCACTTGTACGACATAAACCTACAAACAGAAGAATTAAAGTGATTTTTGTGCAGAAAATAAAACACCAAGCCAGAATATTTTAGCAAGCGAAAAAGGACAAAGCATCCGAAAGAGAAATGGTTACTTTCATTGTAAAGTAACATATTTTTAATCAGTTTCAGGTGCTTCTTAAGTCTGTTCCAAGTCACACCCTGTTCCATATAATTTACCAGAATTAAAAAAAAAAAAGTTTTGTGACTTAGCAGAAAGATAAAAATTAGAAAAGCACTATGTCTGACAACGTGCTTCTACAATACTAATTACACAAAGTAACAGACCAGTGTAAAAGCCTAGGCAGGGATGGATGGACACATACACGCTTGAGCTCTAAATCCAGTACCTGTTAAATGAAAGGCTTGAGAAAAATGACACAATTACAGCATTACAATGCAAACAGCACCAGCTTGTGGGCTTATTTTTCATTAACAGTCTCGCCGCAGACAACAGCAAGCACAATGCAATAAAATATTTGCAGGATTTATTATATCACAGCTTGCACAATATTGTGAAGGAGTACTTAATCAGGAACAGGCACTTTCCTGTCCAACAGTCATGAGAAACTAGTAGCTCTACAAGATTTGGTTTAATTGTTACAGGAAAAAAAAAAAATGTAAAAGCGACTTGTTTTCTTTATACACATACAGTTGAAAATACAGTTGAAAAACTCAACTGTAACAAAGAATCTAAAAAACAGAAAGAAACTGAGCATGATTTACCACAAAGTTCTATTTAATTAATGCATGCTATGTGTAAGTACTTTTTTTTTTCCCCTCAAAATGTAACTGTAGAAGACCTCTTCTTCTGAAGCAGGTAGTATTTCTTTTGGTTACCATTTTTTTGCAGGATAATAATCTATTTCTCTGAGCAGTACTTATTTCTAATTATCAACGTAAGATGAAATTCATTCTTATTACCCAAGTGGGCTCTAAGGTCTAAAATAAAACTTTAAAAATGTGCAGTCAACCTTACCTCCTAAATTGGTAGGTTTATCAATAAGCGAAGCCACCACAATCAGTCTGCTGTTTGATTTTCCGAGTTTAGCAGCACGATCCTGAAATACCATTTCCAGGTCTAAACTAGGAGTACTGTTCTTCCAGGGTATAATCTTTTTCTGAACATCAGCCCATTCGGTCTGGCTATCCGTTTCAACTGAATTTGAACCTATAAAAACATGTATCAGTCATATGGCTATGCACACGGTAGTGAAACTGCTGCTTCTGTAAAGAAGATTATCTAAATGGTAATACTGTAGACACCATTAGTCATCTAGTATTATTTTATGGCACGTACTCTGCCCACATAGATACAAAGCTACTTCAGCAGG